CAATCATTTTACAACCTCCTCATTAATCCAGGAGGACAGCAGGAGAGTTGGAAGAATCAGAACTAAGCCTGGGAGATGGAAAGGGAACCGATATTAGATGAACTCCTTTTGCATAAATTCTCTCAGGAGGGCAAAGGCTGCTATGTAAATCCCACTACTCTCTTCACTAACAACTTCAGCTGCCAGCAGTAGCTAGAGGAGATTTTAAATGCCCACAGGTTTTCTTTACATCCATTCAATCCCCTTGGGCATTTACACACATGCCATTCCCAGGCTGAGTAGTCAGACCTGGGCACCAACTTGAACAACGTGAGACTGCTGTTAAACAAAGGAAAAAGAAAATTGGTGAAATACTGCATTTCAGCCAACTTCCTTCCAACTGGCAGGTAGGATACAGCTCTCCTGAATCTATGCCATTCTTGAACTGGTCACAAAGGGGTGCTACGGAGCAGCGGCCAGTGCTCCTCTGCAATACTGCTGACTCTCATGCCTATTCAGAGTACCTCCTGCAAAATTTGAAGGGTAGTAACCACAAGGCAACTGGGCTCTGTGGTTATATTTTACAGTGGTCTTGCGTGGAGTTTTGCACATGCTACTAATATCAAAGGTCAAAGCCCTGGCTGACAATAAAATACTTACGTAAAACTAAAGCCCTAACCTTTGCAGTAATTAAAGAAAAAAACTGCAAGGGAGACTGGTGCCTCTGGTGTATATGGGCCATAAATTATACCCTTAACATTCTTGTAATTTTAACTGAAGAAGTTTTCTATGTGTCTTACTACTGTGCTGTTAAGCAGCTGCTGCATTCTCCAGAGGTGGCTGCATGTTTGGAGTATTGTACATTAAATCTAAAGTTTAATTTCAGCACCTTAAATTGGCAAAATCTGACTGTTCCTTCCACAGTACACGAGGTTAAAAAGGGCTGAGCTGAGTGGGAAGTCATTTTTCATATTCAATCTACATCCTAAGAGGAAAAAGTAGATTTACTTTCACATATTATTTTTTAAATGCAAGCAGTTGAGAAACTTGACCTGCAGCACTGACTGGCCTCCACTGACCATCTCAGCAGAAAGGGCAAGAACTGAATAAACACGAACACCAAACTGTCCATTTTTAGAGACTGTCCTTCTAGGTCAAAGCTCAGGTACATGGACTGCACACACAGTATGTGGTTCTTTGCCTCAGTTGTTTTAAACCTTTGTTTGTGCACCTACAAAGCTCTAAATATGAGAGATATACACCATGCAGTATAATGCATCTCTCCCCTGGGAGGGAAGTGGCCTTGAGAGGGTATTCAAGTGAGCTTAAGTGTACTTGGTAAAAAATGTTAAAACATGCCACTCCGCTCCCCGCTCCCAATCTAAACAAAATTCCATTTGGGAACAAGGTGCTCTGCTCCAAACTCTGTTCTTCCGAGCAAAACAAGGGTACATCCTAAGAGCAAAATGACAAGCAGCCATTTAATCTGAGAGCTAGCCCTCTGACCCTTAACACATCTCCTTCCACTTCCCAGGCACACACAGGGCACCTGTACACCAGCAACGAGCCTGCTCCAACATACTGTAATTACAGACTCAATTAATCAAGTCTGCCACAGCATGGCAATTACTGTGCTCCAGTAGCCTTCAGTGTCTTGTGTATTAGCATCCCTGGCTTCAAAATGGCAGTGGGTATGCTTTTTTTTTTTTTTTTGACAAAGCGTGCCTGCCACCATTTTGAAGCAGGGGGACACTAACACACAAGATACTCTGGGTGCTTTAATTAGAGCAGCTCTCAGAGCCACTCTACTTAAAGCTTTCCCCCCCACCCCTTACTCCCAGAGCACATGTATAAATGCCCACAATGCCTGAGAAGAGTTTAGATAAAGGGAGTCTGAGGTTTGCAATATGTTTGGAGTGTCAGGTTAAATTTAACACTATTCAAGATTTATGTTTCAGTCAATGAAATTAAGGGTGATGGAAAATAAGCATGCACACCAGGCACTAAGCAGTGACCTCTACTCTCTCCCCAAAGCACTCATTCAATTCCACATCAGTGGTTAGCTGGAGGGATCAGGACCTGGAATGCATCTCAGTTACCACACTTCTTTCACAGACTGCCATGCCCTCCAAATGGCAAGTACAGTTTGGAAGCAAAGCAGAGTCTCAAGAGTCTCAAGAAAAGAGAGAGCACAGACCCAACCGATCCAGTTCTAAGTCTCCTTCTGGCTTCTGTGATTAAATAGGATAAAATAAGCTGTTTGGGGCCTACAAATCAGGCCCCTTTTAAAGTATCTCACATTGGAGACCAAAAACTTGAAAAAACAAACCATTAACCACTCTTGAAAACAGACACAAGGTTTTCACATAACTACAAGCAAAAAAAGATACATTTCCTCATGGCAAATAAAACTTAAATATGCATTTTGGACTTAACAAATCTACTAAGGATATTAATAGCCTAAGACAGTGCTAAAGAGGAGAGATAAAGATGATGCACAAAGGTCAGGAATGTTTTCTCCTGGGAAAGGTTATTGCAAATACCCAACACTTGGGTCAATATGGTTCATCCCAAAGCCAACAATGTGTTCTTCAGAAATATCTGTAGGAGTCCCACAGAACAAAATAATCACAGGTGGCACAATTTACTAATATCCCCTAATACTAATATTCACTAAGGGAGTTTAGGTTGATTTGATGGAATCTGATGAAGAGAAATGCCTAAGAGCAGGGGCGGGCAAAATGCGGCCTACAGGCCAGATGCGACCCGCCAGGCCATTCTATCTGGCCCGCAGAGCCCCTAAAAAATTTAGAAAATTAATATTTATCTGCCCCTGGCTGCCTGTCACGTGGCCCTTGATGGCTTGCCAAAACTCAGTAAGCAGCCCTCCACCCAAAATAACTGCTCATCCCTGCCCTAGAGCAATGTTTCTCAACCAGTGGGACATGTCCCACTGGTGGGACTTGAAGGTCATGTAAGTGGGCCTTCAACTCATTGCCCGATTGAAAAAGTCAGTTGTTTGCACTTCAAGTAGATGAATCAACAAATATCTTGAACAGTGCAGTTTTGTGGGGTTTTTATTATGGTGGGACCAGGGTTTTTTCACAAAATGGCTGGTGGGAAGTAAGGTGCAAAAGGTTGAGAACTGCTGCCCTAGAGCACATCACTAGGGCTGTGCGAAGCTTCAAGTGCTGATTCGATTCAAAGGAGATTCAGCCCAATTCGGCAGCCAAATCTCCAAATCTGAATCGAATCAGGAGACCAATAAAAAGGTCCGAATAGGTTCGAAGCTCTCTGAATCAATTCAGAAAAGATTCATCGAGGTTTGGAGATTTGGGCAGTCCCCACCAGCTGCAGCAAGGAGCTGGACCTGGACTCCATGATAGTAAGGGGCAGGGGAGGTGGGGCTGGAGGAGTGGGGAGGAGATCATGGGGGGACCCCTAGCAGGCCCCATCCTCTGCCTCTTCCCCCAGCCCCCTGAGTAGCACCCAACTGCCACCCACTCTCCCAGCCTCCCCCTCCCCGCCCCCATGGCTGCCCTGCCCGTCCCAGCTCTCAGTTCTTAAAGAAAAAAAAAGCCTCACACTTACCGACTGCTGCAGCAGCCCCAGGGCCTCTGGGCCTTGTGCCAGAGCCCCCCACACAGCGCAGGGCAGCGGGGATCACCCCCCGCCCAGCAGGACCCAATGAGTCTGGGGCTTTTTTTTTTTTTTTTAAGAGCCGGGAGCTAGGTCAGGCAAGCCAGATATTTACGGAGCTGGGAGAGCAGGCAGGGATGGGGCCTGTCCGATTCAGAGATTAGGCCGATTTGGCAATGGCCAAATTTCTGAATCAGATTGGCCGAATCAATTTGGGACAGTGATTTGAATCACCAAATCGAATCACCGTCCCCCGAACTGGCCAAATCCGAAGCGAATATCTACCACTTCACACAGGCCTACATATCATTGCCTTATACTGAGGCACTCCCACTGACTGACTGATGCTTACAAATTTCTTTTCATTGAAAGAGTCACAGCTGATAAACTCGCCTCATGCATTTAGAAAAGGAAGGCCCTACCATTTCAGAGTACATCCCAAAGTAGAAGTGAGAAAACTCTCTTCTCTATCTGGCCTTCCAAAAGAACAGTGTAGCTCCTTTTGGTTTTAGCTTACATTTACGGTGTGTCTGTTGGGGGCAGGGAAAGGTTCTCAGAAAAAGAAATGCATAGTTAAGCTGCTGCTTTTCATTAAGGCTTTCAGAGGAAATGCAGAGAACTCCAAAAATAACCACCTGTTCTTTGGTTCTCCCTTGGTTGCTTGCTGATGCACTTGGAAAGTGTCATCCAGTTCAGAGGTACTGAAGTTGAGTCAAACTATTTAATTCCATTTCTATCACCAGTCCTGCACTCAAAAAAAATTGTTCCCCAAACTCTGTACATGTTGAGCTTGGGGCTAAGGTATATTCTAGCCACCCACACACTACCATTTAACAGTTTCTGCAGATCTTTCCCCCCTGCAGCAGAACAGCTGCTCTCTACAGTTGCTACTAGATGTGTTTCAAACACTGACCATTGCAGAAAAAGAGTAGCCTTGCCGCCTTGATACCCTGCGTGCATAGTAGAGATTCTACCAGGTTTATAGTATGTAGGCACTAATTCAGGACAGCCATGCTTCTGAGTTATGCGGTGCTGACACACAAGAATGGAAGCGGCAGAGGCAGGAAGCCTGCTAAGAGCGATTACCAGCACGCATGAGCACGTAAGATGCTTCTAATATGGCACATATTCTCCAGAAGACTATTCTCCACAGCAAGCAACACAGCCATTGTTCTGAATGCAATTAAGTGTGGTGCCAGCACTGCTCCTTGATATTCTAGGTGGCTCTCTCTTCCAAGGTCCCCAGTGCTTTATTAGAAGGGAGGTGGAGTGAAACAGGGTGGGGCTCTCACATTCGCCATTTTTCATCCCCAAGCCACCCTCCATTCAAAGGCAGGTGCTATAAACGCTAAGACAAAGGAATGAGTTTAAGTGGTACTTACGCGGCATGATCCCTTGGCTCACCAACTCCTCCCGAGTCCGTCGCTGCTGGAGCTTCAACTGCAGCACTGAGGTGCAACAAAGAGAGAAAAGAGTAGGAAACTAGTCAGCGGGAGACACAGTGCAGGACACATTTTCAAATACGTTAGATATTCTTCTTTTGGCTCCAAGACATGCTGAGCAGAAAGAGAAAGGCCCCCCCCCCACCCTTCGCCTCTTCCCTCCTGCAATTGCAGAAGTGGCCTTAAGAGCAAGGTTTCCGTATTCTGCTGCAGGCAACGGAGAGAGGAAGTTGCGAAGGTCTTGGTAGGGTGATAAAAATCCGCAAAACAGGCCCTGTTTCTCAATTATTTCTAGAGCACCAAGGTCTTTCCAAACCATGAACATTTAAAAACAAACAGAAAATATGGACTGACTACTCCAACAGGAAGGGACCAACATTCACATTGCAAGCAACTCCTAGAAACTGTAATCACCATGTGCCTGCCCATTTCATTGGTCAACAGAGCTTTTCTTAAGTGTAAGAAAGAAAACCTACTCCCCCTCCACTAATAAATTTTGTTGCATTACTACACCATTTCTTTGAATTCAGTTATAAAGATTAGCTAGAGATGGTTCTGTCTCACACTGAAAGAAACCCTTCCACTTTTTCTTGGAGAACCAGAACTTTAAAAATGTTAATAGAAAAAATAACTGTAATGTCTAATCTTTATTCGTTGGCATGATGTTTGGATGTTTGAAAAAAAAGACAGTAATCGATCACAGTCAGTCTGTTTTTCTCCCCCATCATGCTCTGATCAATACAGAATCATTCCCTACAGCATAGTCTCCAGTGTTTTATCCCATTCAGTTTTAAATTATTCAAGCACTGGAGTTTTCAGCACTTCCTTCGGGACATTACTCCAAAATCAATCTAGCTATTAGGAAGTATTTCCAGACATTCAGTCTAAATGTCCCTTTACTCAGTCTCCTTCCCTTAATTCCAATACTTCAGGACTAACCTAGAAAATTACTTCTTCTTTGTTTACCTTTGAAATAGAAGCAACATATCTACAAGAGATAGATATCTACTCTTAACAGTGAGAAACGGGTAATTGCCAAGATAGTCAAATGGGGAATAAAGGTGGAACAAAGTCATTCAGAGAGAAAGTGTCCTGAAAAGTACTTCCTCATGAAGTAAGAGCAATTCTTAATTGTGCAAGAATGCGCAAAGACACACATACTCAAGAATAAAACATTAGCAGCATAAAATACACCTTTTTCAGGGATTATTACGCAACTGATTATTTTGGTAGTGACATGCTCATCTCACCCTTAAATCCACTTTGACTTATGAGTACTTTGAATTCCAAGTGTTATTGAATTCCATATATTTAGGAGATCACCTGTTTACATGTGCAAGTGTGTGAATTCTAAAAATAGAGTAACAGATGTCCCCAGAGCCAATTCAAGGCTGTCTGTCATTTATGGACCTCTGCCAATGGTTTAGAATGACAGAAGAGTCTCAGTTACAGTGAACTACAGGCCTTGGTTGTGAGTATCTCCCCCTCTTCTCTACAGGGTTTGGTTTTTTTGGTTAATTCTAGAGCACCCCTTGTTAAAGTAGAGGGAAAGAGAATATTTGGTGGTCGTGACAGGTTTGAAATGAAGACTCTTGCCTTCTACTGCAAACTGCCAGAAATTCTGACACTCAGCAAGGCATTTAACCCTTGATGACAGTCTCATTTTCTCTATCTGTAAATGGGGATAATGCTTTCTTTCCTCAAAAGAAGAGATCCTTTAAAGCTTAAGTAACTTTTGTATGGCGCTCTGAGAGCCTCAAATGAACAAGGTGTGAAGCACAATTAGTAAAAAGTTCAAAGGAGTGCAGAAGACGGCATGGAAAATAAGTGTCAGCAACAAGCAATGTCATGTGAGAGAGCAATACTTCTGAGTGTTGACACAATGACACTACAGTGACTACCACCAAAACTGCACTGCTAGTGAGATACAGCACTGATGTTTCCCACCCGCTTATCTGATTATAGCACGGCACTGGTGGTGAACTATGCAGACATGCTGGATTAGATCAGGACTCACTAACTCACCACCCCATGCCTGGTAGGAGCTGAAAGCACTATACACATACACTATTGGAGAGACATCTAAACTGATGATGATGAGGAAACTCATCCATGATTACTGCAACAATGAGCAGACCTGCGCCAGTACTGGAAATGGTGGGAATTATAAGCAGAGCTCATTCAGTTTTACTCCGTCATCTAAACCTAAGCTGTGAGCTGTGTGTATATATTTGGTCTCACGTGTGCACAGATGAAAACGGGAGTGTAGGATGTAGCCATGTGGAGCTAAGGACGTAGGCAGACAATGTTCTTTGGGTAAATGTGATATCATTTATTAGATTTGAGTTGGTCTAATTAAAAGATATTGGATTTACCCAAATAATCTTGTCTGTAGCTGACCACTGCCTATTTGAAAATAACACTTGGTGTTCAACGATGTGACTAGAAGAACCACAGAAGCCTGTTGTCACTTCCTTCTGTGTTTCAGAAGAGGACATCACTGAAATGACACCCCTTTGTCAAAGGACACAATATCACACAATGCAACGAGTTTATAAGAGCAACTTAAAAGAAAAAAAGGTCTCTAAATTTTTGGTTTCATCAAAAATCAGAGAAATATGTCTTGAGGCCTGATATGTCTTGGATGCGGCCACGGGACTTTTGTGCTGAAGGAAATCTCGCATTTCTACAATGCCTTTCATTCTGCAAAATTCCAAAGTTATCAGATGTCACCTAGTAAATATGGCCAATAAGGTAAAGCCACATACAAAGCGGATCACAACAGTTATTTAAAGAACATAAGCAACAGTTTAGAACAGGAAGTGAAGAAAAATACTGTATCCAATTGAAATTACACAGAGGAACTATGCAGGCCAAACGTTAGTCCCCACACTGGAATTTAATCCAGGCTACCAATGTATTAAAAGGAAAACTGTCAGACACATTTGCCAGTGAACACATACACTGGACAGGTTGGACATTAATGGAAACAACTTCACGGTTCTGAAAAATTCTACTACAATGACATATTTTAATTTAACAGCTTTGTCGTAAAAACATTAGTTGAACAAAGCAATGAGAAATAGAAACCAAACAGAATCAAAAGTGAAATTTTTGAGAAGTGCCAATATTCAAATATAAATAGGGCAAAGGAAACGTGCCATTTTAGTAAGCCTCAGGGAGATTAATTGCCTTTTCAGTGTAAGAAGTTCTCTCACTCCCAAGAAAAGCAACTCTTTGGTAACTCTAGACATTCGGGACCTCTGCCATCACCCCTGAAGGTTCAGCAATGCACTAACATCAGGAGACACTAGTACAGCAGAATCAGGTGAAAAACATCTCCTAGTAAATAAGCACCTGCATTTCCTAAAGCACTTCCTGGAAACTTTCACTAATTAATTTGTGAGGCTTGAAAAACCACAGGCCGCAATTTGCAGCCAGCACCTGTACATGCCAATGCATTCGATAACATATAAAATAGAAGTACTTCACATATGGCCAGAGAACATGAGCAGCATGCACGCCACTAAGTTAACTGTGAAATTTGTAAACACAAAGCGTTTGACACCATAACAATAATTACCAACAACACTGATACTGGAGTTTACACATCTTAAGCCCATCACTCTAACTGGAGAATGACTAAAGGGCACAGCTGACTGACTAAAACCAGCATGACGTACTAATGCTTTGAAAGATGAAATTACTGTTATACTGTCTACCATTTACTTATCTGGAGTAATTTTATTATTACAGAGAATTTACCTTTGAATTTAAAATGCATTAAACCATTAGTTCAAGGATGGGCAAAATGGTGGATCTGGCTGGCAGCTGAACTCCATTTGCCAGCACCCCTTGCCTGTATAGCTAAGGCTGGTTTCCATGGATCCCAGCAACAGCTGTGCTGTGATAGCGCAAGGCCAGGGTTTCTGTCGAGACTGACCCCAGCAGCGCTGGCAGGGCAGGGAACTGCTCTAGGGCCAGGTTGGGATCTTGCAGTGGTGACAGCATGGTCCGGAGCCAGAGCAGAGCTGCAATCTGCAGCCTGCATGTTCCAGGCAGGGGCATACAGGCAATGGATAGCAGCTTTGCCCCAGCTCTGGACCACGCTGTCACCACTGCAAGGAGTTGGGGCACAGCCATAATCCAACGCCTGCACACCCCTGCCCAGAGCATGCAAGGTGTAGATCACAGCTCTGCCCTGGCTCTAGACCATGCTGTTGCCACGGCAAGATCCCAGCCTGGCCCTGGAGCAGCTCCCTGCCCTGCCAGAGCTGCTGGGGCCAGTCTCCATGGAAACCTCAGCCCTGTGCTATCACAGCGCTGCTAGGGTCCCCATAGAAATCAGCCCCAGCCACGCGGGCAGGGGCTGCTGGGAAATGGAGTCTGCTGCTGGCCAGATCTGGCCCATGGACCAGACTTTGCCCACCCCTAGATTAGTTACTATAGTGCAGCAGCAAATAGTAAATTTTCAGGCTTGGACTAAGTGATTGCAATTGCCATCCACTTCACTCAATTTAAGGTTGGTCTGAATTTAATCCTTACAGTGCCAATGTAGCTAGAAAAATCCCCTTCTTGCTCCAGCAACAGCTTCCTCCATATCTTTAAATTGTACCTGCTTATAAAAATACATTCCGACTCCTGAAATGCTTTTGCAGAGTGAAGCAAGATTTGGTTCTGGTTCATGTATCAGCAACAATAGTTCACTAGGTTCCAACTATGGCATCTTTAAGGCCAACAGAGAGAACAGAGAGCAGCTTCGTTCATAGGTTGTCTATGCTGCAAAAATACCAAGAAATTATATATAACGTATTACATTCCCAGCGAGTGGGCACAGTGTGGCCAAAATCATTTTTCTAAAACAATGTTCAGCACTGACTAATGTTGAAGTCCAATTTAAATAGATCTTCCAGCACAAGTTTTATTACAGAGCAGACAAGGGCTAAGATTTCAGATAGAGGTCACTATAGAGATGGTAGGGGAAAAGGTCATTTTCTGCCTTGTAG